GTAATTTTTAACTTATAAGAAGAAACCGCACAAATAGCAAACCATCACTAAGAAAAGCTCCTTCCATACCAGGTCCTACCTATCTTTTATAATCATATTTACAAGCATATATATACACACACTCCTCGGAAGGAAGATGAGGCAATCTACTTCCATAGTGATACTGCCTTGGAAACCCAAGGAGGGGTCGCTATGAGTCAGGACCGACTCGACGGCACATAACAACAACAACAACATATACACACACACAGATATGTGTGTGTGTGTATATATACATATTAGATCCATAGTCCACAATCTACATGACTGAAGTGATGCAAATCCTACAAACTAAAACTCAAATTCTCTTTCCAGACCATTTTCAAGGTTTTTTTCCCCCCAGACGATATTTCTAAATTTGGTTTAAAGGACACATCAAAAAATGGATGAACAGTGTCAATACCAACCGTCTCATCTCCTGAAGGAAGCATCACTTCTGTGTTATAGAAAAATGATCACTTACATTTTGATGCTGTCAAAATAGTACTTACCAATTATCACTGTAGTCTACCTGTTTTCTAGAATGGGTAAGATTTTACTTTTTTTTAAAGATTTTACTTACTTTTAAATCAAAGGACCATTTCTTCCCTCATTTTTCCAATGACAATATCAGGTTTCTCTACACTATAAATTGAGTTTTGTAACTTTTAAGTGATCATCAGAATTCCTAGCAAGCTGCAGGTTTTTTAGAACAGCTAAGCCACACGCAAGTTGTGGTGGTCATCGACTTCAGATTCTTAGGAATCAGAATAGGCTGATCAACTTGGCACTCTAAAAAGGACCAAAGGCTAAGGCTCTATAATTGAACAAATAAATAATGATGTATCTAGTTCTAAAGACTTACAAACATGCTATGATTCAAAGGCACATTCTATTCCACTGAAAATTCACTTCCATTTTTCTTTGCAGCTGAAAATTAAGTCATTGTAACATGATCAAAAGACTGTGTAAATCACTAAGCAATTTTGTTTTGTGCTAAACATCATAAATTATAAACATATATAGCCATAGTTAAACAGCAATATCACTATCATTATTTTAATTTAAATTATTTTAAAATAGAATTAATTAAAATACAAAACACATTCAATCACTGAAGACAAATATTTTTACATTTAATGAATAAAAAAGTCACCTTTCACTCATGAGCTCATCTGAAACTTTTTGCTCTTCATATTCCATTTTGTCCTTATTGATCTGGCTTATTTCTTCACTTTCTAAAACTACTCCTTCATCTTGGATTTTTGGTCCTTGTCTAATTACTTTCAATCGCCTTTTTTTTATTTTATTCTTGGCAAACTCTTGATACTGGTAAGCTCTATCGTTGTCCATGTCCTGATCTCTACAACCGTCAAGTGGCTGGGTCATTGTCCGTTTGTTAGAGATGTCCTGGGGTAAATCCACTGCCATACGTTTTACTTTTCTCCTCCTACGCAGAGTTCTGTTCCCAAGGTTGTCCACAGCAAGATCGGACTCATGCCATAGAGATCTTTTCCCTCGAACATTATTATTTAAGTTTGATGATGGCCTGCGCTTTGCCACTAACATTTGGTCATCTGAGTCACTATGATCTTTTTTATTATTACTGTGATTCTCTCTATAGTCTTTGCTTGGTTCTTCCAAACTAGAATCAGAACCTTCACTTAAGCAGTGACCAGTCTCCCATGGGTGATGAACGTTATAGGACCTCCGTTTCCTCCCTCTCCGTTTCCTTGCCTGTCGTTTCAGAGGGCATGATATACTTCGAGAATGTTCTCCAGTTTCAGCAAAACCACCTCGCGCTTGCTCTGAGCTCTCCTCCAATGCTGAGACAAGATCATGAACCAGTTCCTCCATGGTTCGACTGAAATGCCTACATTTTTTAGAGAAAGGAAAAAAAGAAAAAGAAATAGTATTAACCTAGTTTTCTATAGCAGACAGAGGAGCCTTGATGGTGCAGTGGTTAAGCACTTGGCAGCTAACCTAAAGGTTTGAGGTTCAAACCCATTAGCAGTAACACATGAGAAAAGACCTTGATGATTACTGTTCCCTTAATGATTACAGCCTAGAAAATTCTATGGGGCAGTTCTGTTTTGCCCTATGGGTCGCTATGAGTCAGAATCAACTTGCGACGGCAATGGGCTTAGGCCATAGTAGCCAATGCACTCTAAACTTTGACTAAAATGAATAGTCATTACAAAGAAATGTTTTAAAGCTATTTAATTTTCCTAGCCACTCAATAGAAGAAAGGTTGGGCAATCTACTTCCATAGTGATACTGCCCCAGAAACCCAAGGAGGGGTTGCTATGAGTTGGGGCCAACTTGACGGCACATAACAACAAGAACATCCAAGATATGATAGTTTCAAATATTCTGAATCATTTTAAGTCCTTTCTTGTATAAGTTTTTAAATTAAATAACATAGGAATAACTTCAAGATAGACTAAGGATAGTATCAGTAATAAAAGATACAGTGTTTTTATATTTTTACTGTGCAATTACAGAAAAGTTCCTTTCTGCTTAAATCACTATTCCTTCATCTGCTCCTGCCCATTCCCAGAGGAAGTTTCTTGCAGATATAGAGATAACTTTATCAGCCCCCTCCATTAATTTCTAAGTAAACAAAGGAGCATGAAATCTTCTACTTACTACATACTGTATTCAGATATTGATTGCCATGACAGGTAGACAAAAAGAAAGGTACTTTCAAGATGTGTAATATGTGTGAGAACAAAGTTAATCAAATACTAGAAAGATCTGGAGATCTGCTCCCATAATGATTACAGCCGAGAAAACACTCTGGGGCAGTGCTATTGTCCCACTGGGTCCCTATGAGTAGGAAATCACCTGGATGGCACTCAACAACAAAAGCAACAGGCATATCCACAGGCCACATGAATCTCATATCTCAGTGAAGCAGAAACCATGTTCACAATCACACTGGAGCATCACTGTCTAAAATAGCTCATCAATTTTCTTACAAGTCATTAAAAAGAAGTTTCTTGGACTTCTTTTTTTTTCCTTAAAGAAAGAAAGTTGAAATACACTGCCAGTGTGCAGATTATCTACTAATCATAATGGCATTCATTAGCATCCCTTGGTGAACTATTGTAAATTATACTGGCCTTTTCCATATCCAACTCCCCAATATTCTTAAGTCAGTTCGCTTGATACAAGGTCTCGGCAATCATTTTTAAACTTCATAGGTAACACGCATATATACCTTTCATATAAAGGCTATGAACCATCAAAGAAGTTCTAGAAGCACCTAGGAATCATCATATTTTTAATAATCCTACAGAGGCCTATATGGTTTCTAGAGTCTATTTCAAACAGATAATGTTTTAGGTTAAGCAGGCAGTTCTGCTTCCATGAAGGTAACAGCTTTGGAAACCCTGTAGGACAGTTCTACTCTGTCTTATAGGGTCAGTATGAATCAGAATTGATTCAACAGCAACATATTTAGTCTTCAGGTCTAAAAGTGGTTTTCAGGTTTAAGCAGGCCATTATATCTCTATAGTCAACTCTGTCATCATAGTGCAAAAATAGCTATAGACAATACATCAGTGAATGGACATGGCTATAAGGCAATAAAGTTTTATTTAAAAAAACAGATGACAGTGGGCCACAGTTTGTTGACCCCATGTCTATATATAGTCTCTATAGTCACCATAAGGAGCTCAGGTGGCATAGTACCTAAGGCATTTAAGTGCTAACCAGAAGGAAGACTGGAAAATCTACTTCCGTAGAAATAATGCCTCAGAAACCCAAGGAGGGGTCACTATGGGTCGGATTCGACTCAACGGCAGTGAGTTTTTGTCTATAGTCACCGTAGTCCATAATCTCAGGCATTTGCAAACTCTGTGTAACAACTTTTCAACTTGGTCTTTTCACAGTAATGATAATCTGAAAATAAACATCCTGATTCAAAAGAATTTACCATTTATAATATGATAAGCACATACAGTTTTGACCATTTCAGGGCTTACTATATGCCAGGTCCACTGACCGGTATTACTTCATTTCACTCTCATATAATTACCCTTTAAGGTGGGTAAGGAGCTCTGGTGCTAATACCTAAGGCATCTGACTGCTAACCAGAAGGTTGCCAGTTCAAACTCACCAGCTGCTCCACAGAAGGAAGACGGGACAATCTACTTCTGCAAAGGTTTACTGCCTCAGAAACCCAATGGGGTCACTATGAGTCTGAATCAACTGTATGGCAGTGGGTTTGGTTTTGGTTTATAAAGTGAGTACACAAAAGTACACAAAAATGTGTAGACTAAGGGAAATTTGTCCAATAGGACACATCTAACTACTGGAGACAAGATTCAAACTTAGGCAATCTGGCTATAGAGCCTGCATGCTTGCCTAACTATAGCCAAGAACAGTTTTGCAATTCCAGTATCTACTTTGCATTTTTATTTATGAATGATTACACACCAGATAGAGCCCTTGTGGCAAAATGGTTAAAGCCACGAGCTACTAACAGAAAGGTCAGCAGTTTGAACCCACTAGCTGCTCCACAGGAGAAGGATGTGGTAGCCTGGTTCATAAAGATAGAGCCTTCGAAATCCTAAGGAGCAGTTCTACTCTAACCTATAGGGTTGCTGTGAGTAGGAATCCACTTGAAGGCAGTATGTTTACTACTAGACAGATTTATCATTTGTTCACATAAAGGCCAAATGAGTCATAGTTAAAATGTTATATTGTTCAGAACAGAACAAAGGGTGGTACAGGCAGCAAAAGTCAGAATAAAGAGGCAGCAAAAGTAAATTGAACTCAAAGAAACAATATTATTGTCATCAGTAAAATAAACCAAAACCAAAAACCAAACTCAATGCTGTGGAGTTGGATGCGACTCACAGCAACCCCTCCTTGGGTTTCAGAGGCGGTATTCTATGCAAGTAGATTGCCCAGTCTTCCTTCCGAGGAGCGGAAGCAGGTTTAAACCACCAGCCTGCTGGTTAACAGTCAAATGCTTTAGGCACTACATCACCAGAGCTCCTCATCAGTAAAACATTTTCACACTGAAAATAAACACTGTGAGCAATTAAGTAACCTGACCTTACCTTTGGTTGATGTGATAAATGTGGGTTTGTGCTTTCCAGGTTAATCTCCCTGCTGCATTATGAATGTATAAACAAAAAGTCTAAATGTATCCATGTATTTCAGAAACACAATTCAAATATATATTTTAAATAAATTCCGCAGGGCAACTGAGGTTTCTTTTTTCTTTCAAGATTTCAATATATTAATATATTCAGGTTTCTGAACATTGTGTTAGATTCCTAAATGGATACCTTTTCATTGTCCATGTTAATAATTGCCTTTGTATTTTCCTTTTAATGCAATGACTATTATTTCCTTCTTTAGTACTATTTCTTTGGAAAACTACAGTATGAAATGTAAATTATCTATGAGTACAATAAAAAAACAAAAAATAAAATCAACACCATCAAGTTGATTTCGATTCATAGTGACCCACATTGGGGTCCGAGGCTATAAATCTTAACAGAAGTAGATTGCCCCAGCTTCCTTCCACAAAGCAACTGGTGGATTTGAACCACTCACCTTCTGGTTAGCAGCTAAATGCCTTATTCACTACGCCACCAGAGCTCACTTGAAGCCAGCTTAATGTACTAAAATAAGGAATCTTTGCTTAAATGACTCAGACTCTGTATCAGCTGAGTCTGGAATAATTTTTTTTTTTTAAGATATAGTTTTCTTATCAATGGGTAAATGACTACTTCAAATATTAACATAAAACCAATTTATTTTGGAAGTTACAATCTGGGGCATAATTTTGAAAGAGAAAATGTGGTGGTCCTAATATTAGAAAGGGAACTCTGGTAGCACAGTGTCTAAAGCATTTGACTGCTAACTAGAAGGCTGGCAGTTCAGACCCACCAGCCAGTCCTCGGAAGGAAGACTGGGAAATCTACTTCTGTAGTGATACTGCCTCTGAAACCCAAGGAGGGATCGCTATGAGTCGGATCCGACTTGACAGCAGTGAGTTTGGTTTTGGTTTGGTTAACGTTAGAAAAGAGTTAGCATATCCCATTCCATCAAATGAAATATTCCACTCAAATTAGCTTTGTTTAAAAGGTATTCCTGTTACCAATACAGTTTAATAAAACATAACCATTAAGATTACAAAGAAAGAAATCAAAACTTCTTCAGAACTTCATTAAAGTCATGTCAGCTTTATTCAATTTACATCCATTTCCCTCAAGTGAAAATAAAACAGATTTAAAAAATACTTTAATTAGAAGAACCCAATTTATTCCGTATCATTCAAAAACCAATCAACTAAAAAACTACTTTGGAAAGCTTTTTAGAAGCCCTCCAAATACCCCCCCAAAAATTATAAATAAATACTACTTAAAAGTTCAAATCACCTTTCTCCCCACTTTCATTTTCTAGTTAGTTTGCAAGTTGATCCCAAACATCCTTGATAAATGACATAACAATCAGTTACTGTCAAGCTGCTTTATTTACATTTCTCTAACTATCATCAACTGGCTTCACAGAATTAAAGTCATCATAAGAGACCAATAATCTGATCAAGAACTCACAAATTTTGTTTAGCTTGGCAATAAAACTGAAGAGTCAGAAGAACACTGTACTGAATGAAACATTTTATCCCAAAGACATTTGGGAAAAATGAGGACCATTCCTATTAGAGGGAAAACCTGGAAAATACAGAATTTTTCTGTATAAAAATCTTTACTTAATGAACGTTCATATTTTCACTGCTTGAATTATGGCAGTATCAGTGAATTACCTCTCAGCTAATTTGAGATTTTTTTTACTATTCATATTTACAAAACAATTTCTCCTCATTTCCATTCATCTGCAAATGAAATCTTT